ATGGAATTATAAATGTAAATGTTTCCTTTCTAAATTTCCATTTTTATTAAAGAATTGCTAAGATCATAAAAGGCTATCGAGCTCAGCTGGGTGAATGGCTGCCTTACCTGAAAATGAGGAGCAGGAATGATGAAACCATTTTAAGAGCTATTTCTGGACATTAGAGGCTGGAGAAAGGAACTCTGATAGCACTGTGGGTTAGACTTAGAGCTGCTTTCTGAAAGGTGAGCAGTTCAAACCTACAAGCTGCTCCACAAGGGAATGGGACTCTCTGCTCCCTTACAAGTTTACAATCTTTATACTCAAAAACCCAAACTCATGGCCCTTGAGTCAATTCTGTAATTTGCTCAATAGTATTTGGTTCATTTCTAGTGTGAAAAGAAGCAGATGACTGCTATACCAAAGGTGTGGAACTATTGGTCCATGGACTTTGACTTGGATCTCTTGCTTTGAGTGTGCCCCATGAATGGTGACTGGGACTACCATATACTTATTCTTTTAATACCCTCTTTATTTTATTAAGATATGTATTAATCTGGTAGTTCTGGTTGTACCGCTCTCAGTGAATATTAATGGAAGTTTTGTGTTATAGCCACCCTCCATTGTTTATGTGTGTCCAGTCACTTCAGAGTTTAAACTAACGATTCATGCATTGCAGTTCATGGATAGCCTATACTTGTAAGTTCTCCTTTCTCAACTGTGTTTTAGATTCTCTACTATTGGCTAAATTAATATCACTATCAATAGAATTACCTTATGCCCCAGAGAGATGATAATGTTCTCTAACATAAAACGACAATGATGTCTCAAAGGTGAACCAGAGACATGCATAGACCAGAGATACATGAGTAGATCATAGGCTCACACTTAATTATAGCCCCAATTTAAGAACATTTAGTTTATGAAATGGCCCTGCTTGTTACTTGCCCTCATGAAAAGATGACCGAAGATATGGGTATAGCAAAATTTGACAAAGAAACTAAATGGTGCTCTGCTATCAGAAAGAATAGCATCTGGGTTCGTAAAGGCCTATCTTTAATCGGCCATCTAACTAAGGCATCAATTAAGTCCACATGAAAGAAGCACACCAGCCTGTGTGATCCAAAGATTGAAAATTAATATAATCCAAATCCAAAGGAGGGAATGGTATCAGAGCTTAAATAGTGAACACTCACTTTGCGGAAGGCTATGCATGACAGCGGAAGCCCAAAGTCCATAATCCATTTGCAGGATCCACACATAGATAAGCCTCCAGTGAAGACCCACTGACCATAGTCAAGGGATGTGAATAGTCTTGTTATCAGAGTATTGTAGAGGCAATCACACTAGACATAATTAAGGTCAAAATGTAAGACACCTCATTTGTTCCCCCTTTTGACTCATTTACAAGTTCTATCAGGGTTTTTTGTTGTTCTGATCTTTAATGTTTTTCTTTTCAATTAAAGTTTTCACTTTTATTTTGTTGCTGTTGGTAGCTCATTTGGTTTCTGTTTTGAATGTTTTTTGGGATGGGTGGGTCTCTAAAGACAGCTGAAGTAATGGTCTCTTGGGGGTATGGCACAGGAGGCTTGGTGGGTGGGTGGGGATGCGAAGCTAATAGCAAGCAGTACAAGAAAAAGAAAATGTTCTAAAATTGGTCATGGTAATCATTGTACAACTCTTCTTGATATGATTGAACTATTGAATTGTGTGATATGTAGATTAGGTCCCAATAAAACTGTTTTTAAGAAACTTAAAAACACAAATAATAGTTTAGTTTTTGATTTTGGAGATTAGAGAGAGTAGGTAATAACTTTGTGGTGAAATTGTATTTTCCATCCCACAAAGTTTTTCCTCCTTTCTTCTTTTTCTCCTTCCTTTCCTCTCATCTACTCTCTTTTTCTTTCAACTCTAATGGTTCCAGGCACCAGACTGCATTTGCATATTTGAGTTAAATGAAACATTACTGCTCAGAATACTATCACTGTATTTTTCAACTACACTGTATTTTAACTACATGTATTCCTAAAAAGGTAGTTTATTGTTCCAACCTGGCCAATAAACAAGTGGGGTTAATTGAAGGGCGGAGGGATAAATGGTTCAGTGAGCGTCGCCTTTCTAGTTCTCAAGTCTCTTGCTTTGTGATGGTCACACCAGGGTGCAGCTGCCTTAGCAGTTCCCTGCTTCAGCTTGCAAGGCTGACTTCCTGCAAGACATCTCCAAGGAGAAGCCACATGGACCTACCCCGATGCAGCTCTGGGTGCTGGAGTAGCCATGGGTGTAGACCCCTGCCAGCACTGAGATGCTTACACATTCACTGATTTGGCTTTCCTCCTGTAGTTGGCATCATTGCGTTTTGTGAGATGGAGGACTTTGTGGATTGGTGTCGGACATATGGGTTAATGGGTTAATGTTGGACTTGTGGGTTTGGACAGCACTGGGTTGGGATGTTTTCTTGATGTGCACTTAACTTTTATATAAAACGCTCTCTTATACATGAGTTTCTGTGGATTTGTTTCTCTAAAGTACCTAGACTAACACACCTAAGGTACCTTGCTTCTTGTAGCCAACTTGAATTACAAATCTAAACTACAATAATCTTATATTTACCCCTCCAAGTTTATCATCTTTTTGTGGGAATGAACAAAGGGGAGGCCCTGACACAGTCCTTGCTGCCCTAGAAGATTGCTTAAAAAAAATTTTTAATGTCAATTTTTCATTATTTTACTATCTACTTTTATGTACCTGGATTTTAGGATATAACTCTTTTAGACAGCATTAATTGATAATACTTATCTTTTAGTTGAAGTATTTAGTCAATTTATATTTAATGTACAGTTGTCAAGAGATCTGAATTTCCCAGCTCACCATTTGTTCATCACACCTGCTCCTAATTTTTCCTCTCCTCTCTTCTTTTGGATTAACCAACTTTATTACTCTATTTTTCTTGTCAAGTGCGTGGGAATCTTTTACCCTTCTGTTGGTTGTCACTCAGGATGTTATTACATGCCTCCTATCAAGTAGTACTTTTGCCACTTCCTAGACGGTGAGAATCTCAGCATTTGTTTTTGTACCTCCCTTTATCTGTCTCCACCCTTTTTGTGCTATTGTCATATGAGCACTTTCAATGAAAGCATATAATAATAAATGGCATAAAATAGCATATGACAATAATTATCTTTTTGTCGTCATTATTGTTACTGAAGAGATCAATATTCATTTAAATTTATCCATCCGTTCTTTTGGCTGCTCTTAATTCATGCCTCAGTCCACCATTTCCACTTAGGAACATTTTTATTCTATAAGAAATCCTTTTACCAATTCTGTTAGGTAAGTGTATTGGTGCCAAATATCCTCAGTTGTTTGTCTGAAAATACTTCTGTCTTAAAAAAAAAAAGGTAGACTTTTATTAATTGCTTTTATCATTGGGTTCAATCATGTAGCCACAAATTAGAAATTTCTGAAAGGGTACTACTGTTGTTTTTTTTTTAAGTTTATTCATTACATAATACTCATCACTGAGATGCTAATTTTCAAAAGGGCTTACCCAAATAACTTCTGATGAAGAGAAAATAATTTAAAATATACCTATTTTAAGCTTTTCTAATTCATAAAACCAAATATTCATTATAAAGAAACACCAAAATTACTCCTGCTAGCAGTTTTTCTTTCACTTAAAGTAGGTAATTCCTTCTTCCCTCTTCAAAGCCATGCTTATTGAATTTCAAAAGATCCAAAAGATTTTTAGGATGTGACTCTTTTAGACAACATTTAGTTGATAATCCTATGGAGGGCCACAGACCATCCAGGGCCAGAGACCATCTTGTGACCTATTATCAGTTGGCCTTGGCAAAAGAACGGCAGGGGTGCATGAATCATGTGAAGATTCACCCCTGGTTAATCTTCTCTATTTCTCCTTCCTCTGCTCGGTACCTAGTTTCTTTGAGCCATTTGCTTTTGCAGGAATCAACATGACATTCCTATAAGCATATAAAATAACTGGTCAGAAGAAACCTTATGTTCTGACTTAATTGACTTTTGATTATTTTTAATAATTCCAAAAAATACCCACTCAACCCAATGCTGTATTAAGTCCCATTTTAACTTTGGAGACAAAATGTGAGACCTTGAAAGAAGGGAGACCCCAAATCAGGCAAAATTGGAGCTAGAGTCAATTGTTTTGTTGTGGGCTACATTAGTTGAGTAATTGTTCAAATGGTCAACATGATAAATCTTCACAAGAAATGTACAGTTAATTAACATAGGAGGTTTTCTTATTCTCCATATTGTGTATTATATTTCATAAATTCAGACAGTGTTAACAAAAATTAGCTTTCATAGTTGTGAAGATAATTTAGTTCATATCTGGCTTTTAATTTTTGCTGAACAATACACAACGATTAGCTATAAATGATACTGTTAAATTACTAGCTCCCCCTTCTCTAATATTTGTAGGCAATTTGTGAGTCAATAAGTGAGTCAAATAAATTGTATTACAGTAGCAGTAATTTAGGAAATGAATAAAGAAAAACGGTGCTTATTTTTGCTTGTAACCTGTACATTTTGCGAATATGAAATAACAAGAACTTACTTTAGGAACATAGAAACTTCTGAAAATACCATATGCCAACTATTCAACATGTCAAAATTACATCAAATTGTAGATTTGACCAGAGCTAAATAATACAAGCAAGTTCATGGAGAACAAGTGCTCACCCAAACAATAGGGAACTGATATGTCAGGAGGTAGCCATGGAGCAAGGCAGCATGGACCGATTGAAGACGCTTTTCAGTAAAATATCAAATACCCAAAGAGCCTTTGCACACAAGAAATTTGCATTTTGGCACACATTGTCTGGGTATGATCTCCTAACCTCAATAGCATTCTTAAATGCCTAGTTTAGATTGCTTTATTGAGAATGGTATCCTTTATAAAGTAAATCAGGAGAGGAGGAGATTGGTTTCATGTAAACTTATGATAGATTTACAGAAATTATAATAGTGAAGAAGTTGACAATCATCTATTTGAAGATCAAACCAGCTTCACTGTACACTTTGAAGACTTTCTCAATAGCAGTCGCATAAGCCGCCATTCTTATATCCATTCCCAAGTTATACTTCCTGGCCATGTCTATGATTTGTCTAGCAGAATACTCCATGGTGTAAGCTAAGCCAGAGTATATGATGTCTTTCTCAGATGCACCTGATACTCTATCTTGGAACCTTGCTGTAGGTACAACAGGAATAACACCCCCTCGCTTTCCAAATGTTCTTTCTAAACTCTCCTGAACAGACCTGAGCAATTGGTAGTTAGATTCCCTTTCATATTTGAAGGTCAAACGGCCATAGCTGACATGGTTGATATTCTTCAACCACTCAAAGTATGATACTGTCACTCCTCCCGCATTCAAGTAGAGATCAGGAATTACCAGAATGTTCTTCCCCAGGAAAATCTTATCGGCTTCTGGGGTTATTGGTCCATTGGCTGCTTCTGCAATGATCTTGGCTTTGACTTTGTGTGCATTAAATTTGGTCAACTGCTTCTCACTAGCAGCAGGAATCAGAATGTCACAGTCAGCCTCCAAGATGCTGCCTTCAATGGGCTTTGCCTTGGGGAAACCCATGATGGATCCGTGTTGCACTCTGAAGTCCGCCAGTTCCTTCGGATCAATACCCTCTGAATTCCATATGCCCCCACGAGAGTCGCTAACACCAACACATTTAGCCCCGGAATTATGTAAATATCTCATGGTGTGACGGCCCACATTACCAAATCCCTGAACAACAAATGTTTTATCTTGAAGCCCTGGTGTCAACCCTAAAACATCCATGAAAGGTGCATCATTGACAAAGTTTTGAATACCCAGGAAAACACCACGGCCAGTGGCAGTGATACGTCCATGGATACCACCCTGACTGATGGGCTTACCTGTAACACAAGCATGTGCATTAATATCACAGTACCCCATGATACTGGCATAGGTGTCAGCAATCCAGGCCATCTCACGCTCTCCAGTGCCCATGTCGGGGGCAGGCACATCAATGCCAGGGCCAATAAAGCCCTTCTTTGCTAGTTCAATGGTGAACCTCCTAGTGATCTTTTCCAATTCATTATCGGTATAGTTCTTGGGGTTGATCTTAATACCAGCTTTAGCACCCCCAAAAGGCACATCAACCACAGCACACTTGTAAGTCATCAGAGTGGCCAGAGCTTGTACTTCGTCCACAGTCACGTTTGCATTGAAACGGATACCACCCTTGCAGGGCATGCAGTGCTGGCTATGCTGGGCTCGGTAGCCGTGAATGACTTCCCACGAGCCGCTATCGAGCTGGACGGGGAAGGTGACACTGAGCACGTGGTTGCATGGCTTGAGGACGCCTAAGATGCCGCGCACCTGTTTCCGCTTTTGCTCGTCGCTGCCCCGGGTCTTGATTAACGCCACTAGTTTGTCCTCCATGATGCTGATACCGCGGTCCAGGAAGTCATCCACCATCTTGGAAAAGGCAGGGTTATCCTCACCACTCGCCGCCGCCCGGCTGTGGCGTCGCAGAGACGCTGGTCTGGGCGTCCCCGGCGGGACCACGGGGCCAGCTCTGGCCCGCTCGGCCAGGGCGGCGCGTCCCGTCCGGGACAGCAGCTGAAAGGAGCCCCAGCAGCGCAGCATGGCGCGGACACGAAGCAGCTGAGGAAGGAGGAACCGGCGATCTTTTCTTCCCGCCTGCCTCGCCGTCCGGCCCCTCGGCCCCCGCAGGAACGGTCCTCCAGCGAGCGTTGCGGTCCAACGTCCCCTCTGAACGGTCAGGCAGGGCGCACGTGGGTCTGGGCATGCGCGGCGCAGGCCCCGCCCTGCGCGCCCACGTGGTCTCCCCCCCCTCGCTGAGGGAGGCCCGCGAGCGCTTGTCCTGCCTAGGGCTTCGCCTCTTCGGGTCTGGCAGTCGATTTCCTGCGCAGATAGCGCTAGTGGTCCTTTATGTTCCCACAGTATCCTCACGCTACCAACCCCTTGAGTTGCAATGCCGCTAGAAAACTACCTTCGGTTTAACGCTCGCTCCGATGAAGGCAGATTTCCCCTGATTGAGAGAGCAAATGGAGGCCCAGGATCAGAAGCCTCCCCATTCATGTTCAGACCTGCCCTCTTGAGTCTCATGCACAGGACGCATAATCAAGGTACACGAACTCTCTCCCGGCCTGTGTGGCACACTCCTGTGGAAAGAGTGTGAGATCTAACGTTGGACCTGAGGCTGTTTGGGCAAGGAATTCTGAGGTCTCGGGTATTTGGAGCATGATTGAGAGGGTATACTGATCTTTATCCTATGAAAATGAGCCCAGGCGGTGTAGTGTGGGGCTGGTAATCACAAGGTCAGCAGTTTGAAAGCACCAGCTGCTCTACAGAAGAAAGCTGAGGCTGTCTACTCCCGCAGAGAGTTATGTGGCGGTTAAAAATTCTCCTGTCAACGTGAGCAAAGGGGTGGAGTCTAGCCTGTCAATCAGGTTGCAGCTTGACGACCGCGTTTGGAGGCACAGAGGCACAGACGAAGATAGCTAGCTCACTGAAGGCCAGGCCCAGTCCCACTGCCTCCCCTTTCCGTCGGTTGAGACATTCAGATGGAGGAGACACGTGGAGACCTGCTCCAAAGTTGAGATGATTTCACTGCCACTGGATCGACAAGACCTTCTACCCACTGGCCTGTGATCTTCCTGCATTTGCTTCATTGCATGTGCTGTGTGAGTCTAAAGAGGAATATGGGCTAATATCGGACTTATGGATTTGATCTGGACTGGGCTGGGATGTTTTCTCAATATACAATTGCTCTTTTATATATAAAGCTCTTTCTTATACACATTTGAGTGTCTATGAATTTGTTTCTCTAGTCTGCCCAGGCTGACACAAGTTATGATCTCAGAAACCCACAGGAGCAGCTCTATCCTGTCTTTATGGGGTCAGAAATGACCAGTGGCATTGCATTTTTTAAACTTCCAGACCAGAGGCTAGAGTGAATTTTGTCTAAAGGTAACTGTGTTTATCTGGGTACATTAGAGAAACATATCCACAGAAACTCATATGTATAAGAGAGAGTTTTATATAAAGGGTAAGTGCACATCAAGAAAACATCCCAACCCAGCCAACTGGAGGAGGAAAGCCGAGTCAGTGAGTGTGTAAGTATCTCAGCGCTGGCAGGGGTCTCCACACATGGCTGCTCCAGCACCCAGGGCTGCATCAGGGTAGGTCCATGGGGCTTCTCCTTGGGGGTGTCTTGCAGAAAGTGAGCCTTGCCAGCTGAAGCAGAGAACTGGCTAAGGCAGCTGCACCCTGGTCCAACCATCACAAAGCAAGAGACCTGAGAACTAGAAAGGCGAGGCTCACCGAGGGATTTATCTCTCTGCCCTTCAATTAATCCCACATATATTTATCGGCCAGGTTGGCACAATAAACTTTAACTCAGTAACCAATCCAAATGTACTGCCATGGAGTTCAACCCTAAGTTGGCATTGACCAATGCAGGGTTTCCTAGACTCTAAGACTTTCTCTGAACTAACAGCCACCTCTTTCTCCTGCAAGGGGGCTGCTGAGTGTGTACGGTTTAGCATGTGGTTAGCAGTCCAACGCTTAACCCACAGTGCCACCTAATGTTTAAAGGTAATATGTCTGGTGTTGCATGCTGGGTTTTCCTCCTCTCTGATTTTCAGTAATTTTTTAATGAAATGCATTTATCCTGCTATGGGCTCCGGGTTGTGCTGGTTATCAAGTGACTCTTACGTCTAATCCACCCTTATGTGTTGTGATGGGTAAATTCTGCAAAGTATATTTCTCCATTGCCATCTGACCCCTCTTAGGTTGGCAATAAAGTGAGACTACTGTTTCTGTCACCTTCACACCAGCAATAGTTAGGGTTGCGCCTTCTAGATTTTTCTCCACACTCAGAACCAGTCTCATTATGTGTTGGCCCCGAAGGAGTTAACAGAGACTGAGAACAGTGGACTGTTTCCATGGGCACCAGATATCCCTTGCACACGAGGGAAGATTTGGGCATCCGGGCTGCAAATGACTTGTAGGAGGTTCTGGAAGCAGGACCTGTCTGAGGGCGCTGTGCTTCCTTCCCAAGGACAAACCTTGAGTCTCTGATAAGGCAGTTTGTTATGAGAACCTAGTGCTTAGTCTGTTCCCTTGTTCCTTGTTTACTTTGAGAAAGTGCATACGTGCTTACTCACCCATGCCTTAGCTAGCTGAGAAAATAAAAGACCGTGCAGGGCAACCATCTGTGCTACACCCAGCACAGAGGTGTCAGCCCTTCGCTGGTGTCAAACAGCATTTCCCGGTCCATGTCTTCATTTCTGCCCTGCACTAACACCAGAAAAACAGCCATAGAAAGCTCGCTGTCTCAGTTCCCATCACTCACTGCCATCAAGTCAATGCTGACTCATAGTGACCCCTCTGTGGGTATCCAAGACTGTAATTGTTACAGGAGGAGAAAGTCCATTCTTTCTTCCTCGGAGCTCCTGGTGGTTTCAAACTGCTGACCATGAGGATCACAGGCTAAAACATAACCACTGCCACCGGGGCGCCTTAAGACCCCTTCATTTAAACTCCTGAGATCCCAGCCCAGGTGGGCAGTACTTCTCTTCAGAAATCTGTGTCCCAGCTCATAAACTCTCTCCTGCAGACTTCTAGTTATTGACAATTCAACATCTTTGTTCTTCTTTCCCTAAGGATGAGCAGCCCTGGTATGTTTATCCGAGTCAGCAGACAGGTACTCATATTGAAAATGACTTGGAGTAATGTGTTCAAGAAAATATATGTGAAATACCGGTGACATAACTTCCAGCAATGTAGCAGCACAGAAGTCACCCCAGTTTGACAAACTGGCTGACATGGTTTAAATCAGGCAAGGTGTGCCTCAAAGTTTTATCCTCTCACCATACTTACATAATATGTATGCTGAGCAAATAATCAGAGAAGCTGGGCTATGTGCAGCTTCAGAAGTGGAAAGTTTATTCACAAGCTATGTTAATGCAGATGACACAACCTTGTTATCTGAAAGGAAGGAAGGCAGGCTTGAAGCACTTGCTGATCAAGATCAAGGATTACAACTCAGTGTAAAAAACAAAACAAAACAAAAGTTTCACAATTGGACCAAGAGGCAATGGCATGATAAACAAAAAAAGGATTGAAGCTTGTCAAGAATTTATTCTTGCTTGGATCTACAATCAATGCTCATGAAAACAGCAGTCAAGAGATCAAATGACAGACAAATCTGTTGCACGAGATCTCTTTAAAGTGTTGAAAAGCAAGGATGTTACTTTGAGGACAAAGTTGTGCCTGACCCCAGCCATGGTATTTTCAGCTGTCTTACAAGCATGTGGAATTTGCACATTGGATAAGAAAGATCAAATAATCATCCATGCATTTGACATATGGTGAAAGCAAAGAATATTGAAAGTGCTATGGACTGCCAAAAACAAAAAACAAGCAAATCTGTCTTGGAAGAAGTACAATCAAAATTCTTAGAAGCAAGAATGGTGAGCCTTTGTCTCACAGACATTGGACAAGTCTCCAGAAGGGACCAGCTCCTGGAGAAGGACATCACATTTGGTAAAGTAGCCGCCAGGCAGCGACAAAGAGGAAGACCCTTGAAAAGAGGGATTGTACAGCGGCTGCAACAACGGAACATCGAACAAGCATATGCACTCACATAGACAAGTGAGCGTGCTCGGTGTTTCATCAGCTGGTTGAAACGTTTCAGCTAGTAGCCCATCAATTCCTGGAGTCTTGGTTTGGAGCTAAAGCCTTCAGTACAGCTTGGACTTCTTCCTTCAGCACCTTTAGTTCTTGGGCATATGCTACCTCTTGACCTGATTGAACGTCTTTTTGTGCAGTGACTGTCTTCTTTCCATCTTCTTTTGATACTTCCTGCATCATTCAATATTTTGCCCATGGAATCTTTCACTATGGCAACTTAAGGCTTGAATTTACCTTTTAGCTCTTTCCGTTTAAATTGTGCTGAGTATGTTGTTCCATGGTGGCTTTCTCGCTGCAGATCTCTGTGTATTTCATTACAATACTTTGTTGTCTCGAGCTACCTTTAGAATTGTTTTTGTTCAGCCCTTTCACTTCATAAGGTATTCCATTTGCTTTAGTTACTCTATGTTTAAAAGGAAGTTTCAGAGTTTTTTCTAACATCCACAATGATATTTTCTCTTTCCTATTTTTTAATGACCTTTGCTTTCTTCATGTATGATGTTTTTTATGTCATCCCACAACTTATCAGGTCTTCTGTCATTAATGTGCAACGCATCAACTCTATCCTTGTGATACTCGTGAAATTCGGGTGGAATATATTCAACATCCCACTTTTGCTCTTGTGGACTTGTTTTAATTTTTTCATCTTCAACATGAACTTCCATATAAATAATTGATGGTCTCATCAGCCCCTGGCTTTATTATTTTAGCTAATATTGAATTTCTCCATCTTCTCTTCCCACCAATATGGTTGTTTTGATTTTTTTGTATTACACCTGAAGAAGCCCATGTGTGTAGTTGCCATTTGTGTTGTTGGAAAAAGAGATTTACCATGAAGTCTTTGTTCTTAGAGATTCTATCATGTAATCTCCAGCTTTGTTTCTATCATCAAGTGGGCTAAACATAGGACTGTTAACTGCAAAGTGGTGGTTCAAACCCACCAGCTGCACCATAGGGAAAAGATGAGGCTATCTGATTTTATAAAAGTTTACAGACTCAGAAACTCATGAAGGCAGTTCTGCTCTTTCCAATAGGTTTACAATGAGGCATGTCTACTTTTGTGGACATTAAAATAGAAGAGCATGACTTTAAAAATAATATTTTTCATATGTTAAATTTGCATGTTATTTCATTCAATTATCTTAACTCTACTCGAACAGTTTAAGCATATATTTTTATTCATATTATATATTTATGCTATAAATATATTAAATATTATTGATGTATAACATAGTAAAGTAAAATATTATGATTATATGAGAAAATTGATATCTAATAAAGATTCAAAAACAGGCTTTGTGTAAAATAAGTGAACACTTCCTTCTTCTATCTTGATAATACATTTGTTTATCACAGGCCCAAACTTTCCTGCATATCTCCTTTGTATTTATATTCGACAAGTTGGCTCTTGCTTTTGTGTCATGAAAGATAGGCACCCTGGTGACACATTAAGAAGCATAGTGGTGAGTGAAAGGTCGGTGATTCGTACCCAATTATGGTGAACACCAATATCTTTTTAGTATGGGCAACTTTGAGAAATAAAATTTTAAAGGAAACTTCATTAACCCTTTTATTGTTTATAAGTTTGCATGTTCCTCTGGATGAACTTTCCCATCCATCTGTCAGCTTCTATGTCTCGTGGGATTAGATAGTTAAGTGACTTGGAGGTGGAAAACCACTGACAGAACATTTCATCTTCTGAGTCAGCATGGACACAGGGTGTCTCGGGCCAGTTTCTCTTTTCAAGAGGACTTCAAGAACGATGGTGCCTCTTTATTGTATTTTAAAAAATCTCTATTCCTTTAGTAAAGTCTTACGAATAAAATTTGTATTTTAACAAATGCCAAGTCAATATCTAATATGATGTGATTTTTTAAAAATCAGTTTTATTGGCAATTCTTCCATATATCATACAATTCAATGATTCATTCATATCAAGAAAGGTTGTGCAATTATTACTACCATCAATTTTAGGACATTTTCTTCTTCCTTGTACCCACTGGTATTAGTTTAATTTTATTTTTAAGTGTGGCAAAAATGTAAACAACAAAACATTCTCCCATTCATTTACTTCTACATTTATAATTCAGTGCCATTGATTATGCCTTCATGTTATGCAACATTAATATACTTTTCCAAATTATTCCACCACCATTAACATAAATTCAATTCCCCCTAAGCACTAACCTTTACCCATGGTAATCAACGGTCAACTTTTGTTTTGTTGGGGGTTTTTTTAGTAATTTTCTTGCTATAAAATTCACATGTCACACAGTCCAAAGTTAAGTTGCTTTTTAAAAGGGTTGTGTATACTTTATGCTTCCTCCCTGCTCCCACATTCATTGTTCGCTCCCAGTTTCCTTCACCCTCCGCACCTCCCTTCCGTCCCCTTCCATCCACCCCTTCTGTGCTTCACAAACTGGGAAAACTAACAGAGGCAATAAGAAACAAAATGAAACAGAAGAAAACAATATAAAAATAATGAAGACTAAGAAAGAAACCACTAACAATATTTGAAAAGGGAGAGAAGAAATTTCTGTCATGGAAATATTTGAGCCTAGAACAAATTGAGGTTGGGTCAAGAGGGAGGTCAACTGATTAAGTATCATATTATCCCATGACTGGATCCACCACAAGCAAGTGTGCAATGCTCTCTGCCTGATGGAAAAGCTGTTCAAGTCCCTTGCCTGTGGCTAGACGGGACCTGCCAGAGGTTGAATCTGACTGAATACTCTGCAGATGGGTTTTTTGGTGAGCAGAAAAGCTTAGTTCCTTCGACAAATGGGACAGGACCACCACCTTCCGTGTCTTAAGGTCATGGAAGCGTGCTGATGGCTCATCCCAGGGAGCTGATGAAGCAGCTTGTTGATCTGTCTCTCCACTTGAGATAAAATTGACACTGCCTACTGCTTCCTGGCAAAAGCTGCCGAGAGCAGACACCTGCAAACTTATTACTTATCAATTACTTCAACCTGGTCTTCCCCTCCCATCTGTTAACAATTTGGTTGAAGTGTTAATGCTTCTTTGTATACTTTCAAAGAATCACAAACTGTCCCTTTGTGTAAACACGTGTTGCAGGCTGCGTATTTAAGCCCGCCTCTCATAAAGTTAGAGGCCCTGGAGTGTCTAGTGCTTCAGGGACCCCCTTGTCTCAACTGCATCTATCCTTTGATCTATGTTTTTGTGTTTCGGATCGTGCCCCTCTGAAACCCATTAGTAATGTAAGATAAGAGCTGGTCTTGATGTGTCTTACAGATTTGGGGTTCCCACTGTTCTCCGTGTCTTCTACAAATTGGGTGTTCACAATTTAAGCTCTGATACTTTTCCCTTCATCGTATTGGGATTTTGTGATAATGGTCATCGGATCACACAGCTGGTATGTGTCTTTGATGTGGATTTAGTTGACGGCTCACTTAGATGACAGCTTGTATGAATACAAATCTTTAAGAACCCAGACACTATTCCACTTGGTAGCCAGGCATCATCTACTTCCTTCAGCACACTTTGCTATAGCACCTTATCATCTTCAGTGATCTCTTCCTGAAGGCAAGCATCAAGCATGGCCATGTTACAAAGAACTAAATGTTCTTGGATTTAGACTAGAATTAAGTGGGAGCCCAGAACCTATCTGCTTGTGCATGGGTTATGAACAACTTGGTGGTCAAACTATGACAAAAACAAAAACAACAAAACAAAAAACCCAAGAAACAGAAAGGAAAAATATTGTCAATTATCCTCCTGCAGTATATGGCAATTATATTGATAACATCAATAATTTATCCAATGGCATAGAATTTAAGATATTGATTTGAGGAGTTTATGACATGTAGTCCAACTATGAGCTGCAATCCGTGAGTTGTTTCATGGTACAGATTGATTTCTCAATTGAGCTCTGTTTACATTGAACATGGGAGTTGGTGTTAGGGGGAAACTCCTTGTACCATATCTTACAAGGACAGATCCTTGTCTGTCAGATGGATACCTGTCATATTAATGTAGAGAGAGAAATGAACTGGTTTGGGTTCCCTTTCATTGGACACCCACTAACCCAGGGGTCCCACCCAAGGTCCAACAAGCACCATTTTCAAGTCTTGAGATGGCCATCCTTTGCATCCTCTCTCATCAGGGTATTTCACTCATAAGTCTAAGGTACAGGTAATTTTTGAGGTAGGGCCTAGTTCATTCAGTTGGGATTCCACGTTGAGTTCTTCTGGTGTGGCCCTTGAGGGATGCCATGTTCCTTGTAAGGCCAGCAGTTAAGGTCATCTTACTGCTTACTCCATGGCATGGTTCACCAAGGGTTGGGCAGAAACATTCAAAATGTCCCGACAATTATTGTTTAGCATCCCATCCCAGTGTGAGGTTGCTCCTCCCATTTACCCACCATACTCACCAACAGAAATAGAAGTGCCTCTGCTGATATGTCAAACCTCCCATCCCCTGGTCTTGACTTTCCAGTAAGGTTCCCCTCTCATGGCTGCGGAGGGCCGCCTAGTCATCACCCTTTCCCCCCTTCTTGAAGGAGTGACCCCAGCCAATGTGAGGTCTCCTTTTTCTAGGTGGTTCTTAAGAAGTGCACATAAGTGATGTATGGTTCATGGCCACTAGGCAGATTTTCTACCCCTTTGCTTGAGCATTGGTCTTTAAGATTTAATTCGTGCTTCTCCTCATAGTAGACTCATGCAATATTTACCCTTTTGTGATTGACTAACTTCACTCAGCATCATGGTTTCCAGGTCCTTCCATGTCATGTGGTGTTTCATGCTTACATCACTGTTTTTCAGGGATGCATAGGATTCCATCGTGTGGTATGTATCATAGTTTCTTTATACACATGAATTCTTCCACTGCTGGACGTTTGGGCTGCTTAGTTTCTAGCTATTGTGTGAACTGTGCTGCTATAAAAGCACACATCCACTCATGTTGTGTCTTTTATTTCTTTGTGGTATATGCCTATTAGTGGTATTGCTGGATTATATATGGGATTTCATTTCCCGGTTGCTTTAAGTATCACTATATCATTTTCCATAGTGTTTGTATTTACAAGTCCACCAACAGTATATACAAGTCCCGTTCTCTCCACAACATCTCAGGCATTTGTTGTTTTCTGTGTTGTTCAATGGGTACAAGGTGATATCTCACTGTGGTTTTAATTTGCATCTTCTAGATGGATTTAGAAAGAACATACCTTCCCTATTATGTAATATGTTTTTGTATATGCAAAGGTTATCTTCTTTGACAGTAGTCACTTGTAGTAAATAATTTTAGCTTTGTATAGGCTATGGGATAGTTATGTTGGAAAAGTAGACTATAAGACCATCTTGAATAAGATATGGAAATTGAAAGGAACTTTAGCATTTTCAAGTTTTGAAAAAACTGTATTATTATATAGGAAAAATCCACAAAGTAGAATAACTTAAGCAAGGTCAGTGTGAGTTTGTGACCCTAAAATTCTGTGTCTTCTCATCTGAACCAAATGCAATACCACATTTGCACATTCTGCCACTACATCCCACTACATCAGAATAAATGAACATGTTTTATATTGTTACTATGCCTTTATTTAATCAGTTGCTTGTTTGAAGGTATTTTCACTTGGTAATTGGGGTGTGCTTGGGTTTAACTCAATCTCCAGCATCCTAGTTGTAACTATAGGCCCTGGCTCCCATCTTTAGGCACAATTGCTCTCTTCTGGGTTCAGAGATGATATCTGCCTAAACTCATGTTTAGACAGCCAGCTAATGTTGTGTTCATGATGGCACAGTCACCTGTATGGAAATAAAATGTTATTCTCCTTCCTTCTACATAGTTTACCAGACAGAATGCACTAGAAGTTATAGTAATCCTCACAGTGATGTATCTTCACCCATGCACTCACCACACATTATCCAACACAATCTTAAGGAGATCCAGTTGTAGAAAAGTTTCTCTAACTCCTTGTACTGTCCACTTGTGTCATTGCTGTTTTATATTTGTTCTCTCTCTTTTACTAAAGAGAGAGAAAAATCACTGCCTTAATTTCTGGACCAAAACAGGATTTTGAGTGATGACAGTGATTTTGTGAGTATATGTGTTTGTTTTGTTGTTGTTTTGTTTTGGGGTGATGGGGAATCAAGAATATGAAGGTAAGTCAAAAAGTATTGCTACGAAGTCTCCATATGCACTCAGGTTTATTCCAAACATAATCTGTTTAAATATGTCTCTGTGATCCGTGCATGGCTGAAGACAAATGATCTCAGGAATACATTAGTATAATTAGAGTGCATTCCAAAAAGAAAAGTCCAAGCAAGAGAGTGGCTGGCACAATTAAATTCAAAGTAGCTCAGGTGATGGCAACTGTTTTGGTATCCCCAAGGAATAATCTTGATAGAGTTTCTCCAAGTACACAGGACAGTCACAGGGGCTTATTAGGGAGAAATTTTCAGAAAATAGATTTTTTTTAAAGAAAATAGATGATTTTAAAAGAGCATGAGTTGAGTCCCTTGAGGATGAGAAAACGTCACGAATGGAGGAGCTCAGAATCTTTGGGAAAGGCTTATTCGCTCACTGCCACAGAGTCACTCTTGACCCACAGTGACCTCCTGTGGGTTTCCAAGACTAACTGTTTACAGGAGCAGAAAAAAGACCAGTCTTTCTCCCATGACATTGCTGCTTGTTTGGAATGGCTGGCCATGTGGATTGCAGCCCAGTGTGATGAAAATATCACCTCCAGACACATACAGACATAGGTGGACGATATGTCAGCAATGCCACATTTTGATTTGTTTGCTAATAAAATTTTTATGATTTTGTAGCAATACTTTTTACTTATCCCCCTATAGTTTTGAATTATTGTGTGCATTTTGGTGATTTATAAAGAAAGGGGATAAAATATTTGAACAGTGACCATGCAAGAAAATATGTAGAGTCAGTGTGCTTAGACCTGTAGAGGAACCCAGTTTTCTCCATCGTGCATTACTCAGACTCTGGTCTAAAAGGAATTCCCAGTGAAGCCTACAGAGTCATGTAACGTTTGTGGTTAGCAGTAAGTAGCCCTGGTGGCATAGTACTATATGTTGGACTTCAGTCTGAAAGGTCAGCAATTCCAAAACACCAGAAGCTCCATGGGAGCAAGACAGGGCTTTCTACTCCAAGGCTTTCTACTCCAGTAAAGAGTTACTGGGAAAAGCACAGGCAGTTCTACCCCTGTTCTATAGGGTGTTATGAGTCGGCATTGACTCACTGTCAGGGAGTCGGGTGAGTCTGTGTGCCATACTCTAGGCCACTGGGTAAACATCTGAGGCAATCTTCTCCCCTTTGTGGGAGTATATGTTAGGTGAATCTAAGGAGCAGGGGAAGTGGCCCTTGACTTTTCCTTTGGGGAAAACACCTCAAATACTTTGTCAATGGATCTATTGTTGACATTGATATCACATGCAAGTAAAATTTTTATGAAGGTCATTCAACAATGATTGCAGCAGCACATTGACAGGGAACTGTCAGAAGTTCAGGCTGGATTCAGAAGATGATTCAGAAGAAACAAGGGATATCATTGCTGAAGTCACATCTGATACACTGACCCCGGCTTGATAATAGACAACAGAAGAGCCTTTGTTGACCCTGCTCTCACTTGTGGCCCTTTGTTCTGGACTGTGAATACTTGGCGGGTTACTGCTTTCCATCCTGGGGTTAAGAGCCCATGAGGCCTGGATTCTTGACTATAGTAGGATTGAACATGGCAATGTGGAACTCAGGAGTCAGTGTGCTTAGACTTGTAGAGGAAAGATCACTTGGGTAAGATACCTGGAAGAAGCTGAAGAGGGTGATTTCCTTGATCATGGAGTTAGGGTCCAGAGGAGCAAGGTGATGGGTTGAAGAGCTAGGTCCTTAAGACTCTTGAGAGCTGCTTTCCATTTCCAGACCGTGATCTTCTCAATGTTGGGGACGTGGAGGAAACTGGAAGCCTGCTACTTCTGTACCAGATAAGATGAAGTTGTGGATGTGTGAAGGAAGGATATTCCATCCCTTCCATCCCATTCTTGACTTCCACTAAGATTTCATTACTTCTCCAGAACATGGGCATCATTGGCCTTGAGCATTGCAACTCCTTGGTGGTAATGTGATGCTATGAGAAAAAGCAGTTCATAGATGCTAAAGGACCAAGTGACAGAGCCTATCAGAACCAAGTTTTTTTCATTGAGAAAATTCTTCCAGCTATTCTCAGAGAAATGTTAAAATTAAGTAAGATAATGAATCAAAAAGGGTATATTAACCAATAGAACAAGTTCTACATATGTACATACATAATTACATTTAGAATTTATGTAAATATAAGAATGCATATAAATTATTCCATTCCTAAGAGAACTGTTTTTTGATGATATCCAACTATCTAAAACAGTGACAAATTCTCTTCAAACAGGAACTTAAGGTCTTCATTTTATCCGTTTCCTGTCTCAGGCAGGATCACATTGGAAAGAGATTAAATTGATGCCCACAGCAAGGCATGTTGCTGTCATCTTTTTTGACCACCAATTTGTCTGCTTCTCAGCTGTCACTAATGGAAAGTAGTTAATTAATATCTGAATTAAATCTCTAATGCTTTATTCTCATGGAAGAAATATTGATATATCTCAGTGTGGGAGCATCTGGATAGCCAAGCTTTTACCAGATGTTTAGGCTTCTTATCTTAGACTAAAGTTCCTTCCTCATGACTTTCCCAGTTTGTCCTTTTTCTAATGTTCTATATTCCCTCCATTGAATAAAGAGAACCCCCCACACTCTCATACACAGAGTTCCTGAGATTCCATGAATTTCTGATAGGCTCAGAGGATTTGAGAATTCTGATGGCGCTATAGTTAAATAATTAGTTGAGAGTGGTGGAGGCCATTTCCTTGCTGTGTGTGCTAAGTACAGGCTTCAGAGCTGTAGGCAGCAGGCACAAGCTTACAGCTTAGAGCTAGCTATCATCTTGGCTATCAAAATTATGCCCGGGTGGATGACATCTCTCTTGGGACCACTTACCCAATGCTGGATGCAGATGACATGGATATCCCAGAGCAATTACTCATACCTGAAGTGGACACAGAAGCAGTCAATCCGTTAAATGAGCCTTGGAATGTCTCCCTAAGAACCTTATATCCCCATTTTGAAATATAACCAGTTAGAGTGGAAAGACCCAGCATTTGTTGTGTGACAAGCCTGCCAGAGGGGCAATTTCAGGATGTGGTATCAGACATTTGGCCACTTGCACAGTACAGTGAATCATGCTCGTCTGATCTTTATTCAGACAGTGCTGTGTATTTAGGAGTAAACCAAACATTTTAACACTAGGGCACTACTACTAAAACAAGTCCCTATAGGTAAGCCTTACTTCTTTTCTCTGGAAAACTGGTGCACTGGGACTTGAATTCTTATCTCACCCCAAATGTTACTCTGCTCACACTCTTAGGGAAGAGATAATAGGAAAAGATATGATCTAAATCCACATTGTTACAATAGGATGTTCATGAGGGTTACCAATGCCTTCTTTGGGAATCAGTCATCCTTACTGGAGGAGAACATCCTCATGAAGAGCTAAGGTAACCCTTTGACCTTTTGATCCATATACTTGTAGTTCATCAATTTGGAGTAAAGATGAATGAGAATCCTTGGAGAAAGGAAAGAGAGACCATGCCTGAATTGACTTTATAGTTAAAGATCTCCAAGAAGGCAGAGACTTTGGGGGGGGGGGCAGGACTAAAAAAGCATAGAGTGGATTCCAATTTCCAGAGTAGACACAATCTCAGTAGGATTTCTTCTGCCTTCTCCCACATATAGGAGAATAAGCAAAAATGTATTGCCTTAAAGTCACAGAATCTTTTATTAAACAAAAATATCCAAATGTAAAGCTATTGTTTCTCAATGTATTCTCCATCTAGGCATATACATTCCTGACAGCACTGTTTTCCATTTCTTTAGCCTTTCCTGGAAGAGTTCTTTGCTCTTCAATTGACACCACATGAAAACAAAAGCTTGGGTATCCTCAAGGGACTCAAATCATGTCCCTTCAACAGCTCCTTTGAGTGTGGGCCACAAAAAGAAGCTGTAGGGTTGATGGGGTAAGTTTCAAAATGAAATTCCCAGCTGACAACTCTAAAGGAAAAGAATTAGCAGGTGCACTGTCATGACGGAGGGTGAGGAGTGGGGGAATCTCAGTGCAACTTTCGCGACTGCTCTCACCAGGGAAATTTTAAATTTTCTGAATATTCTTCCTCATAAGCTCCCATGATTGTCTTGCATCTGTAGATAAAACCGATGAAGATGATATCTTTGGAATTCCAAAAGAGATACCACGACCTTCTGAGATGATCCCCTATGAAGCCACTCTTGTGATTGGATCTTTTTTGAAAGCACCCTGATGAGACTAACAAATGTATTCCTGGAGAACTCATCTTCAGTTACTCACTTAACCACAGAGATGTGTTTAAATGCATTTTGGTTGGAATAATCCCACATATATGTGGACTGGAACCCAACAACAGTACTTTTTGAACTATTCTTGCTCATATAAAGTTTTCTCAATCTTTTAATGAGGTCTAGCCGTCTCTGAATTAAAGTGTAGTTTCTCTTAACACAGGAGCTTCCTTGGGAAGCAATCAAGACCCTCGATGTTCCAAGTGAGGGCCATAACAAATAACCTTGTATTACATGGGAGCCCATTAGACATACAAAATATTAGAATCTTGGAGTCTCTTCAGACCTACTTAAATTCTTTCTAACAAGGTCCCAGGTGACTAGTATACATGTAAACATTTGAAAAACTCTGGTTTCTGAATTCCTTTTTGGGTGCATGAAAATACAAATGTTATGCTGTGTTTTGGGGCTTTGAATATTTTGATTTTTTTTACAAAGCATGGAAAATGGCATCTGGTCCTCTAGCAACTATAACTTGATGATCCTGAAAATCATGCCACTACTACCTGACTATCACTCCACCCCTGATGGTGTGGTGGTTATGTGTTAGGTTGCTAATCACAAGGTCAGCAGTTTGAAACCACCATCCATTCCATGGGACAATGATGAGGTTTTGATAGCCCATGAATACATTCTAGGAAACCCACAGGGGCAGTTCTACCCTGTCATACAGAGTCACTGAGTTGTATCTGACTCAATGACTGTAGGTTTGTTTGAGTCTTGAGAAGCCCTTACAGAAGAGCTGGAAAGCTGGTCACCTTCGCACTTTTTCTCTCCCATCTAGGAAAAAAAAATCACGTCTGACTGAGGGATGGGCCTATCGTCACATTCGCAACACCCATCCCAAAGAATAAGAGGCTTCGGCATCCCTGTGCAGGTACATGGGCTGGATGGAGCGGAGACCAGCAGTGATCACGATGCTTCCGAGAAAGCCAGGGCCCAGCCTGGTTGAAGGAAGAAATGGAGAAAGGGCCTATTTCTAGTTCTAAGTTGAAAAGATGCTTCTAAGAAGAGACTTTGGGGTGAAGATTTGCTTATTCCTTCTCACCATTTTTGACTGATCAAAACCTTAGAAAAATTGCTCTTTTACCTCGAATCCGAGCATCTTCCTGTAGCTGAAAAACAATAAGATTCAGAGACTTAGAAACTGTGACTATTCACCTTTGAACCTTCAGTATGTCAGCTGCAGTTTCAGCCAAATAAGGAATGTCTAATTGGGGAATATGGGTTCTTGGGAATGAGACTAAATTTTATGTTTCCCCCAAACAGAACTGGTGTTGTCTTTGTATCCTCACACAGGGCTTGAATATAGCCTATGCTCAATATGTTTTCTTCTGTGTGTGCAATGAATGAGTAAGTCGCAAACATATGGGATCACCATGAGCTGGCGTTCATTTGAAGGCCTTGGTTGAATTCTAGGGGTGGAAGACACAGTCATTACTTGCGATTTTAGCTACTGAGACTACAGTCTCTCCTCTTTTACTCTTTCCTACCTGTCTGCTTTCCTATTCCTGGCTACATTCATACTCCTAATTGAGTCTCCAGAGGCTCTCTGTTGCTTTGAAGGGATCGGTGAAAGATTCTTCTCATTCTTCCCAGAGTAGTTGGGCTCCCTGAGCCCACATGAACAGGCTGGATGGCCTTTCCAAGTCTGCATGGTGTGGGGCTGCATCTTATTTTGCCTAACCAGCGAGCATATTCTAATTCAATTCTAATTCTACCTCTCTCTGCTGGCCCTTTGCTTGCCTTTCTTCCCTTGGTAGTTACGTGCAAAAAGTTCCCTTTTGTATGTTTTATCTTCACCAGCCCGAGGGATCTATGAGGGCAGGGACTGTAGCTGACTCCAGCAGGAAGTGCCAGTACGAAGTGTCAGCCCAGGCGTATCAGACATGCCTGATACTTTCGTGTATAGGCTCAGAGAGGACAGAATGAACACACAAATTCCACTTACATATAAGCCTCCTTCTGCCACTAGACCTAATCATGCCCCAGGCCTTAGGATATTAGCATTTGGGGTAGAGGGGAGGCACTAACCCTCAAAGTAAAACTTGAATATAAATATCAGTCTCGAATCTTCGTCCAGTGTCCTCTTTGCCTGCAACCAGGTAGAAGCAAGACTTGCTAGTGCCTACACTAGAGCGAGGCTTAGATGTAGCAGGAAACACATGGCTTCTAAGCCTATAGAAAGACGCTTAGTTCAGAGGCCAAAAGGCCGTATAGTGAAAATGAGGGCATTTCTTTTCAATGTAGTCTCAATCTCTGTCCTTCTCTTCTCTGAGCAGGAAGCAAGAGTGAGCTACTGTTTCTAAGACCACACAAAGTTCCTGTTACATTTATACTTTAATTTTAAGAAAAAATGATATCCATAATCAGAGGGGAAACATTTTAAAGGAAATTGGTAAAGAAATTTCACACTTGCCTTGGTTTTAGAATGCAATTTGCACTCATCCTAAGTTATGTCTTTTCTTATATTTTAACCTTTGTAAATAGTCTGTTGATAAACAGTTATGTGGATACTGCTTATTGCTCACCCTGTGACAGATGGGAAAATGCTAAAATGGGACTGTGACTTGTTAGGACCAAGACAAGTGAAGTCTATGGGTAAGCTACATAACTTGGTATCTGTGACAGGCTAATAATAATACAGTGCATATTTGACTATATTGTTGAAATATTTGAACTATAGTTATATAGAAAAGAAGCTGAAATTTGCATGAAGGAAGAGCAGACTCAGAGGGCTTTTATTTACCCAAGAACTCTAGTTTCTAAGATTCACTTTTCTGGGTTTAAAAGACATACTTCATATGGCAATTTAATATGTCACTTGGGTACATCCACCAAGGCAGTCGCTTATCAGTGTTCCAAATAAATGCATAAAGTATTTTTTATGAAAAACGTCTGATAGAATTTTCTCTATATAGTACTGAATTTTCCACCAGGGAATTATTAGCCATCTCTTTGCATGAGCTGCCTGTCCTGATAGATCAATGCTACTCTTTAAATGGTGGGAATCGCTAGATGAAGACATGAAGCTAAAACCATAAGCAGAGACACAACACTTCAATAGGTTTATTTAGGAAAATGGGAACAAGAATAGGTGGTAAAGCCAGGGAATTTAGATAAATCTTATTTAATCTCACCTCCTTTTGTATATCCTTAAAAGCCAACAGTACCTAATAGAAGGCAAAAGAACAGAAAATGTAATAACTGTAAAATAATCACTTTGTAATTTAAAAAGATATAGGTAGTTGTCCCATTGACTTTCTCTTTACACATATTTTGGACCATCAATTCTTTATATAGTAAATGGGTAAAAGGAGAAAATAGTAAAGTGAAACAGGATTCATACCTCAAACTATATACACAAACCAACTCAAGATGCGTAACTATAAAACCTAAAACAAAACACTGGGGCAAACATTGGGGCTCAAATTTATAACAGTCTACCGGATATAACTAAAAATTCACAGAAAAGGATAAAGTAGATGACTTGGGCCTCCTAAATTAAACAAGTATGTGTATCTAAAGACTTCTCTCAAGTAGTAAAAAGCGAGCCTACACCCTGAGCCAAAAGCAAAGGCAAGAAACGATGTAAAAGAGGCAAACCAGGGTATTTCAAAGGATAACTAACGAAAACAAAGTAAAGATTTGGAAGGAAATGCGTAAAGATTACCCAGAAAACCAAAGGAGAGGAACATCCGCAGGACATATGAAACTGAAAGAACCAAGAAATATTCAAGTCTGGAGTTGAAAGCTCCAAGGAACGGTGAAAGAAGCACATCACAAGAGAATGCCCTCACGCTGCGCTGCTGCGCGCACAACTGCCCACCGGCAGCAGCAACGGCTCCCGCCCCCTTGGCTGTGTCAGACTGCGGCGCCTCGAGGACCATGGCGCCGCTGCTGTGGAAGGGGGTGCTGGCCATGGGCCTCTTTGCCCTCGCCCACGCAGCGTTTTCGGCCACGCAGCATCGTTCTTATATGCGACTAACAGAAAAGGAAGACGAATCACTGCCAATCGACATAGTTCTTCAAACACTTCTGGCCTTTGCGGTTACCTGTTGTGGTATTGTTCCTATGGCTGGGGAGTTTAAAGACATGGATGCTACATCAGAACTTAAAAAGAAGACATTTGATACACTGAGGAATCACCCATCGTTTTATGTGTTTAATCACCGTGGGCGAGTATTGTTCCGGCCTCCGGATTCAACAAACTTTTCAAAGCAAGATGGAATCTCCTCTTTGAACACATCATTGAAGTTCAGAAAATTTGACTCACTATGCAGTTAAGATTTTTAGAAATTATAACAACAGGACAGGATAGAGAGTTGGAGTATTGGAGCTTGGGGTATACTACACTCCCCTGTCAGTCTCTGTATGGATAGTTCAGATCTAATAAAACCAGAATCTATGGGCTTTGTTTGTACACTGTCAATCAAGTGATTAATGCAATTTAAGTTATCTTTGACTCAAGTCTGACTTTTTTCAGAGGGACTAAAAAAATAATTAAGACAAATTCATATCTTATGTAAACTTCACTGTTTTGAACACATTTCTTTGGAAAGATTGATGTTTAGCTATTTGTTTTCTTAGTTTTATTTTCTTCTGCACTGCAGTTTTAGGATCCGTTTGGAACTACTGTGTGATGACTGCATTTGGCAGCATGAATTAAGGAAAATAGTCTCTGTTCCAACAAGAGGACTTTACTAAGGAAACCAAGATGGGGATCCTCACACATTCTTTAGTCCCCTAAAAAGTGGCTCTTTTTCAGCAGACACTGGGCAGTTTTTCATTTATTCATGACTTCTCACCCCCACTCCCAAATACTACTGACGATCCTCCGTCTTGTTTCATCATGTCTAAGCTTCTGTGTATGAAAGTCAGTGGTTTTTATGTCAGAAATCCTTGGTCTTCAAACTAGATTTAACACACTTAGCTAGCCATGAGTTATGTTCCTTTGTTTTTCTATAAGAATTTGCTCAGATTGCTTATCTAGGCTAAGGATAGTTGAAGCTTGACAAAGCAACCACGGTCTACTGATAATTGCCTTTGTAGATGAATAACCAGCGGGGAAACCTGATTATGTATGTGATGGTGTGTCACTGAGCCAGTTTAACTTATTGAAAACCTCTGTTGGTTCATTGCATACCAAACTAGTGAATTTGGAAAATCAAGAATACTTCTCATTAATCTGAACTTGGATTTCCAAAGAATTGGGCCAAATGAGTTCTAAATATTTGGAACGAATACCTTTAGTTTAAAAACAAAATGAAGGTCATTTAAGAAGTTCCTGATTTAGGGCAGACTGGGTATGTCTATCTTCACTGTATGAAGATGAAGGCAAAGATGAGGACACGGAGCTGAATTGATGATTATGCTGGAAATATGTTGTTCAGCACTTTCATCTTCTGAAAGCTCAATGGGTCTTTGTAGAGCAGATTGCTTTTGCTGAATGGTGAAGGTGGAGGGGGACTACGTGGGACTAAAGGGAAGCACATTTGAAAAAGAAATGTGCTTTCAGCAGGAGTCTATGATGCTCTTGGACTTGTTGCAAAATTTTCCATAGACAATGAACCTGACACCCTTATACTGGATGGCTTTTTTTCTCATTAAAAATGAACACCAGCTCTTTTTATTCTACCTGATAACACATGACCCCAGAGACTGAGTTTGTTTTGTAATCGATGGTTCCTGTTGTCTTGCCAACTCAGTCTGTCTGTGGACTATGGACTGTTCTCTGATAAGAAACACGTTGGAAATCTGCTAATAGCCAAAAATAATTAAGAAATGAATTAGAATGGGAAATCACAGTTAAAAATGATTTTTAAATCAAAATAATGTTCAAAGACAAAGCTCCTTACGTCAGGCTTGTCTACCTTCAAGTATGACTTGATTTTGAAGAGCCTCTTGTTTTCTTCTCTTTGGGGCTAATGCCCAGATACTTTTTTTTTGGGGGGGGGGATTTTATTGATGAATTATTCCCATTCTTTAAAGTTCACCCCCATTAAAATATACAATTCAGTGGTGTTTATGGTTATACACCCACAACCAATCTTATAATCTTTTCATTATCCCTTGCCAATTAATTATCAGTTACCACCCCACCCCCCACCACACACACTTTTCTCCACAGTCTCCCTCCCTCAGCCCTATGAGACTTTTGTCTGAGACTGGTGGAACTCCCAAGACTGTGGCCTATAGAAACTCTTCAAGCCTGGAACTGACTCCACCCTTGGGAGGTCAACATATAGCCAAATAATACACAGCTTATAAAGTGAATAATTACACTAGGGAGGAATGTACCTCTCAACACAACCAGCCATAACTGACCAAGAGGGCAGTTTTGTCCAAAAATAGAGCTCAGAAGGCAGAAAACCAAAAAACCTATGGCCATCAAGTCGATCTGAACGCATGGCAACCTTACATAGGTTTCTGAGGCTGTCAGACTGTGGGAGCAGACAGCGTCATCTCCCCCTTGGAGTAGCTTGTTGACACGAATCACTGGCCTTGTGGTGGCCTGACTGGAAGGGGCAGCAAAAAGGACAAATGGGAAAGGAAAGCCCAGGGAGGAAGGGTCAAGAGTGCAACCAGTATCATGAAATAGAATGTGTATAAATTGTTGACTGGGAGACTCATTCGCTCTCTAAACTTTTCGTACAAGTTACAATTTTAAGAAGAGAGGGAGGAAGAGGCACATAGCTGTGTCTTATGATTGCTTTTTGATATTCAGGAGTCCCCGTGGGTGCATATGGCAGCTCAATAGCCCAAAGGGTGGACTGTGCTGGTCTCAACTGATCGTGTCTCGGCTCCAGATTTACTCTTTGCTGTACCATAAGTGTGCCACTATTTACTATTTTCTAACAGGATGTGTTCTGACCCTTGATGAGCAATTTATCCTTCAGCTAATGTAATGATTTTAAGGACATAAAATAGGTGTACAAGTTTACAGCATTTTAATTAAGATTCGTTCCTACTTTAAAACATCTAAGAGGAATCGCTGAATCACACAGGACTGAAAAGTTTGGTTTCACTGTTTTATTTGATATTGTTCCATGTAGAGGAACAGGGAAGAATATAATTGACTAATTTTGGGTCAAAAATCCACGGGCATTGATTTATTAGTCTTTTCCTGCTCAGCTCTATATGGGAAACATAGGTTCCAAACTGATCGCTTCTCTCTTATTTCCTTCCTGCATCCAAGAGTTTAAATGTACATGCAAATAGAATGTCAAAATTGAAGTAGTTAAGATTTGTGGGAAGATTTTTAGAAACGCCAGTGAAACGTCCGTGTTCTAGGAAACTGTACAACAGTTTGCTCTGCTCTGTCTGGGGCATAACCAGCTTCTATGCTCTTCACCATTCAGAAAAGTAGCGAAATCTGCTACCTCCATGTGGGAGAACTAGCCATTTTGTCATTTTCAAATGGCATGGCAGTCAAAAAATTTTGTAAAAGTGACCAAGCAACAGTTTTTGTGTACTTAGAAAATGTTACTCAAAAATTCATTGAATTTAAGTTGGCTTCAAATGATTTTTGAGAGGGGCTCTTACTATATATTTGGACTTAACTACTAACTGCATAGCGTAGAACACTGAAGGCACACATTTCCATTGGTGAACTAACTGATAATAGTTTATACTTTTCAGATCTAAAAACTCTCTTGAGAAGACTCAGTCATTGCATTCAGTTTCAAATATCTGGTAACATGATCTTCACCAAAGATCATGTATTGGCTTTCTTTAAACCAATTTAGAGTAAATAATTTTATCTTATTCCTAAGGTACAGCTCTCAAAGTGGGATCAAAATAGTCTTTTTTCCTAACCACAGAAAGGGAAATTCTTCACACTCAAACCATAGACTCATTTATTGTTTCTCTAAACACTTCAGGACTTTCTAACAAAAAGCAGGTCTGTATCTCTGAAGTCTGATAAAGAACCAGAAAGCCCCGGGAAGACTTTCTGCTGCTACCGGTTTTCACTCTTAAGTAGATTGTGATTCATAAGCACCCTATAGGACAGAGTGGAACTGCTCTGTAGGTTTCTGAGATTGTAGATCCGTACAGGGAATGACTGGTAGCTTAGAACGTCTGACCTTGTGATGAGCAACTGAATACATAACCCACTACACCACCAGGGTTCTTCCCTGTCGGCAATTAGTCTCTTTTACATAATGACCAATAGTTTTGGTATTAAGTAAGAAATGTTGAAACATTTAAAAAAATGTCAGCCTTCAAATTCACAGGAAGAATCTGAGGCTTGTGTGCCTTTAAAATCTTTATTGAAATAAACTAGAGAACATCAGAATAGGTAAAAATACGCAAAGAAAATTCATATTATAAATTATGCAAAGGAATAACAAGTCCTAATTGTTGAAATTATATTCTAATTACTTAATTTAATTGTAATGTCTTGATATACGACAGTCTGGCATGTTGGGAAGGAAACAGTTCTGCTGTATACGAACGACTGATCTCAATCACACCTCCAGGTCATGCTACTTTCGGGAACATTCGCTTACTAGCAATTTTACCAAAATCAATGATTCTTCATGGACTCAGTTTAATATTTGAATGGATAAAACTAAACCCTCAACTCAACTCATTTTTAGAGGTTTCTTTTGAGATTAATTCATTCTGAAGGACCCAAACCTTTCAGAAAATATTATATTTCATGATTTAGAAATTAAGGAGCACAGTCGAATATGTTTAGCCAATTTGAGCAGCTTCTGAGGTAGAATAACTTTTTTTCTCCAAGGAAATGGAGTTGGGGCCTTGAAATTTTCTTTGAAAGAAAAAAATTAAATAGCAAACATTTCACAATAAATAAATTATAATAAAAATTATAATTTTGCTGCCTTTCCATTTAAGAGTTGAAGTACTGGCACAGTATTTGCTCAGTACTTGCCCTCAAATCCTCACCTGGTTCCACAGAGTTTCAGTGATTGACAGCTGAATTTCCTATTGGATTCAGAAAAGAAAACAAACAAGCAAACTTGAGATCTGAATCGACACACCATGGAATGGGTGGAATAGTTGGTGGGATACAGATTTTTTTTTTTAGTAGTGATAGATAACCTCAAGTCCCCTCACCTGTCAGGCAGCCCAAAGTCTCCCTCAGTCCTGCTACATAATTTTCAGCTCACATCGCCTGGTCTTCTCATGATCTAACGGATGGGTCTCAACTAAACCCATAAATTTGCCCATGCTTTTCGATGTCTCCTCAGTCTGTCTCCCCTGAAGTCGTCTGGGGTGGCATCAGAGGTTTTACCAGGTCATCAACCAGTCAAGAGTACCTCAAACTAAAAGTCCCAATCCCTCCAAAATGTAGCCTTTGTCAGGCAGCTATTCTGTTTCTGTCCACAATCTCTTTTCCTCCCTGCTTCCCAAGAGCCAGGAGCCCAAAGGACCTGATAGATTTGAATTTCTTACCCACCTGCGGTTTCCTTGCATTTTCCTGGGATTCACTGGGGGGAAAGAAGGAAGATACAAATGAATTAAACTATTGCTGATTGAATTGTCCTTCCAAAATACGTGTTGTAAATTCTAGCCTCTATGTTTCTAGACGCAATCTCATTTGGGAATAGGGTCTTCTTTGTTATGTTAATGAGGACATGTCAATGTAAGGTTTATTTTAAGGTGATCACTTTTGAGACCAGAGCCAGAGAGAGAGAGACGGAGAGAAGAGTGGGCACAGAAGTAAGCCAGCACATGTGGGGGAAGAGAGATTCCATTCTGATATAAGGAAAATCAATACTAGAAATATAAAAATTTAAGATTTGGTTTGTTAAAAATCCAAAATGTAACTATCCCTTCCCTTACAGTAAAAATTCCTTTTAAGTTTAATCAGCAGGGATATTCCAAATTGGGAAGGAAGCTAGTAAGGTCAGTGAGATAAGTAGCCAGACACACAACATCACTGCAATTTGGAAAAAGAGGGGCACATGAAACTTCAGGGGATGGAGATCAAATGGACCCTGGAGAAATGTAGTTATAATTCCATAATGATCACTTGTAGAACCTACCTTTTTTAGAGCATCAATTGCATGTCGTGACATTGTAAATACCTGCTAGCCCCCTGCGGTAGTCACTGCAATAAGCCTGTTTCTGTATAGTAACGGGTAGGCTCAGGACTGAGCTCTGAAACCGCTCAGAGGAGAAACCTGACTGTTCTCTTTCTGCAAGCACTTGCAGGAAAAAAACGTAGAATTTCTCAAACCAACCTGGTCTCTGTTTTGGCGACAGTGACAGGCTTTCAGAACTCCTTTTTGTATGACAATTCCACATGAAGGTTGTTGAGCAACTGAGAAACAGAAGCTAAAAGGGGTCAAGGACCTCCCCAGAGCTGACACAGTGAGAAAGCTTCCCCTGAGAGCCAGTGCCCTCACTTCAGATCCCAGCCTCCTGAACTATGAGAAAATAGTTTCTGTGTCTTCAGGTCACCCACATACAGTGTTTTCTATATTCAGCAGACATAAGCCAATGGCCTCCCCTGAGAGACCTCAGGCCTGTAACTTCTAGACCAAAAACATGTAGGAAGGATGGCAGGGGCCTATCTCTCGCTTCCACTATGCCCTCTAAGACCCGTAGCCTTGTCTTTGCAGTAATTTCGCCACTGTGACAGTCCTTTGACAACTCTAGAGCACTGGGAAATAGAAGTTATGACGAAGGTTGCTATCATTAAGTCTTGTCATTCACCTCCTGAATTTGTGTTCCTTCACCCCACGTAGCAGTTGAATAGCTCAAGTCCTTTTTGAGAAAGTACGTGCAATTCTCCCCCCATAAAGGGTTCGTCTTTTCCTTCACAACCTCTGAGGCAGTGGGAAAACCAAACCCAAAGCCATCAAGTTGATTCCAACTCAGTACAACCTTCGGTAGGGTTCCTGAGATGGAAAGCTTTATGGGAACAAGCAGCCTCCTTTTTCTCCAGTGGTGTCGGGGGAGTATGGGTGGGTTTGAATCACTGACCTTGAAGTTAACAGTCTAATAGTGCCACTAGAGTTCTGTATGCCACTGCCAGGGATTGAACCTTGAGGTGGTAGATAGAAGGATGCAGACTGGGGAAGAAGCTGGGCTTCTAATCAGTCATTGTGGTTCAATCCCCTGCTGAGAATTTGCACTTCCACCCCAGCTATACTGAATCAGGATACATATTTACAACACTCGCTGACATTGAGTTGCTGCTGATTGACAGCAACCCTCTAAGACAGTGCAGAACTGCCGCTGTGAGTTTCTGAGACTGTGACTCTTTATGGGAGTAGAAAGCCCCATCTTCTTCCCACAGAGCAGAAAGTCTTTTGAAGTGCCCCACTTCGGGTAAGTCCAACGTGTAAGCACTTCGCCTCCAGGACTTCTACATCTTAACAAGAGCCCCATAAATAAAGAGACTTGGAGTTCAGCTGAAAATGTCTGCCCCAACCCCAGTGGCATCAAGTCAATCCCAGCTCACAGACACCCTATAAGACAGACGAGAAATGTCCCATCTGGTTTTCATCAGACACATTGGTCTCATGAAGGGTAGCTGGGGGGCTGGAATCACAGACCTTTGGGTTTACAGTTCAATGCTTAACCCACTGCATGTCCAGGGATCCTCCTTTCCCCTTCCCCCAGGCTCTTTTCATCCAAATATTCCTAATCTGGGTAAAAGGCATGCTTGGGGTGGAGAGGAGAACAGATACTTGCGATAGAAGTCTAGCCATGTGTCACTGGAAAAAGGTTGAAGACTGTGCCTTCATGGACCAGGCACTGAGCAACATGCTTTGATGCACACATACGGCCCTCAAACATTCCTTTGAGGGAGTGACTGCCAACTATCCTGTGGAGCAAATTGATATGCGAAATAATCTTAATGAAGCTGGGATTTCAACTCAGGTCTATTTGATAAAACTGTTGTGAATTCTCTAAAATAGCCTAGGTTTCCACTTGTTATGTAGCTGAATAACAGGAAGCTAATTGCATCGCGAGGTGCCCTCCATGGTGACCCAGTGGTTAAAGCGCTCACTGTGATAATGGTAGTTCCAACCCTCTGCCATTCTGCTGGAGTAAGACTGGTATCTCCTGATAACATGTCCAAAGTACGTGAGACCAAGTCTTGCCAAGTCAATGCGCTCTTCCAAGGAGCATTCTGGTTGCACTTCTTCCAAGACAGATTTGTCGGTCCTTTTATTAGTCCATGGTACTTTCAACATTCTTTACCAGCACCACAATTCAAATGCATCCATTCTTCTTTGGTCTTCCTCATTCAATGTTCAACTTTCACATGCATATATGTGGCTTGGGTGAGGTGCACCTTAGACCTCAAAGTGACATACTTGTTTTTCAATACCTTACAGAGATCTAGTGCAACAGCTTTACACAGTGCAATGTTTCATTTGATTTTGACTGCTGCTTCCATGAGCATCGATTGTTGATCCAAGCAAGATGAAGTCCTTGACTACTTCAATCTTTTATCCATTAACTGTGATACCTATTAAAAGGATGTTAAAAGGATGCT